TTCAAACAAGACTCCCAAACGACCAACAGTCATGGGAGAATAGATGTTTGTTTTAGTAGGAGAGCTATCACTTTAAGCAATTACTGTAATTTAAAGCAATAAACATTTCTGAATCTGAATCGCAGAGAATAGATTTGGTCCCTATCTATATTAACTACCCGTTAACGAAAATTTTAGAATTATTTTGAACTAGATGCAACATATTCTCGATCAAATATCAGTTGCAAAAAAAGTTTAGTATGCAAAAACAACAATTCACATTAAATACGCTTGCAGAACATTCAATTTATGAGAATTAAGTCAAAATGTTGAAGTCAAGTGTATGTCCATCTAAGAATGAATTAGAGGTTAAAATATTAATAAAATATTATATTTATTATTCTCGAAAAAACAAAAATTCAAATAAGCACTAGACTTATGTGAATTTTATATAAGTATGCAGGCGATACCGTTCTGATAGCAGAAATAACAGGAGACAAAAATAACAAAATATATTATAAATACACAGAGTTATAGACATAGTTAATAATGCAAGTGAAGCAATGGCACTGACAATAAATCTTCAAAAAACTAAAGTAATTGTGATTAGCAAACCAATGAAAATTGTCGCATTAACCTAAATAACACTTATGGAAGCAAATGATCTATGACTGAAAACTAAGCTTACGACATCCGAATTACAGTTATTAAATGCTACGTTTGGCCAGTCCTTCTGTATGGAGTCAAAGCCTGGGCATTAAAATTAAATACCATGAGACATTATCGCAGAATGCTTAGAAAATCATAGACATAACATATTACGAATTGGACAGTATTAAACACCATAAATAGAAAGTTAGAACTTATAATACGATTAAGAAAAGTAAGATTTCGCGCTTAAATTTACAAAAATTACATCGGAAGCCAATTCACGCAAACCTTTTTTCCTTTCCCCACTTTTTACCCAAGCAGCAGCCAATTAATGTGCAGTCAATGAAGGAGATATTGAACATATTCAAGGAAAAGCTGATGCTTGTGATGAAGTTTCAGATTTAGTTGTTTAAAACTTTTTTGTTCCATAAATATTTGTTTCAAGATTTTTTCGATAAAAATTTAGTTTCAAGGAAGTTTTTTTATTTTTATAATTTCTGTTCTTTTTCTTCCGGTGTCTATTATTGCTTGGGAATCTCGCATTGTCATTTCTATCATTCTTCTAATTTTATTTGATATATTACTTTCTTGTAAGTCTTTGACCATTTGTTCTGTTTAGTTTATCAAACGCCTGTATAAAGTTTAGGAAAAGTAGGACAAATTTTGTACAAATAAAATAAGAAACAGTGTCTTAAATGATACTGACCCCTTACTCAATTTAACGCAATCAAGTATGGACTACAGTTGATTAACCAATTCGATGACACCTATTTTGGTACAAACAATGATATAGGAATAAAAGAAATAACGTAATTTATTGCTAACAATTCACAAGACACTTTCATAATTCAAGCACATGAGAGTGAAATAGAAGATAAAGAAGTTCAAATTAATGAATATGACACGGAAAACTTTGTTTTCAAACTTCCACAAAATTTATTATAAAATCTTACCACTACAGTACCACTACCACACTTTATAGTCTCTAATGAAATAGGTTGAGGAGGGGAGAACTCTTTGTCTCAAGTTGGTCATTCAGAATTATATCTGTGTTTTTTAATTTGTTGATTTCCATAGATTCTAACAAAGATAGCTTAAGGCCTTTATTTTGAATGTGAAGAATTTTAAATTTGTCATTAAAAGAATGATTATGATCTAGAAGGTGAAGTGCGTATGACGAATCTGTTTTTCTATCCTTGAGAGCCCTTTTATGTTCTGCTATTCGTTTATCAAAGTTTCTACCAGTTTGACCGATGTAAGTTTTTGGGCAGTCGCCACATTGAAGTTTCTACACACCATTATTTAAGTGTTTTTTATTTTGGCTCTTGTTATTTTTAATATATTTGCCTAGGTTGTTATTTGTTCGGAAAGCTGGTGTTATTCCTTTCTTTTTTATGTGTTTGGCAATTTTTGTTGTTATTTTGCCTGTATATGTAATCGAGCAGAAGGTACTGGGTTTTTTCTCTGGTGGTGGAAATACTAATTTCAGGGCTTTCTTGTGTAGTTTTTGATTTAACATTTTATTAATTGTTTGTGCGTTGTATCCGTTGTTTACTGCTATTTGCTTAATTATATTTAATTCTGTCTCCATATACATACATATACATCATCAAAATATGGTTGGTGAAAGTAGGAGAAACGAAGAGAACAAAAAGACTGCCGATGATACTGATAAAGCTAATAACAATACTAATAGCCAAAAAGATAAAAATAATATTACAGACACATGCATAAATATTTTATCTGATATAAAGTTAGTCTGTGGTAAAAAGGAGCCCATAAATATATTTAAAAAAATATATAAATAATCTAAAGTAGGAAATACAAAAAATTCTTGAAAATGAGACTGAAAATAAAATTTCTAATGAAGAGATTAAAAATAATGTTTAACGTAAAAACGAAATATAGAAGAAACATCTACATTGGCCAAGAGTGGAAGACACTGGACATAAAAATCAAATAAAAAACAGCAATGCCTTTCGTAAACACTGAAATTGCAAAAAACTGTTCGAATGTATTAAATAAGATTTTTGAGGATTGACCATTTACCTAAATGTAATTCACACAAAGATATTAAATAATACCAGAATCATTTAATTTTTAGAAGGAGATTTAATTCCCAGAAATTAAATCCCCAAAACTTGGATTTTGAGGAAGAGTGGTATAAACTACACCAGAAATTAGAAATGTAGTAAACAATTTAGTTATTAAAGAAACTGCAACATACAGACTATACAAGTTGATGCTTTCTTGACATATTTTTTACAAACTTAAAAGCAGTTATAAGTTTTCTTGTAAAAGGCGTATTTGATGTTCAATGAAATTAATGTACAGTCCTTCTGTATGGAGTAAAAGCCTGGGTATTAAAATTAAATACCATGAGACATTATCGCAGAATGCTTAGAAAATCATAGACATAACACATTACGAATTGAACAGTATTAGACACCATAAATAGAGAGTTAGGACTTAAGGATTAAGAAAAGAAAGACCAAGTACCTAAATTTCCAAAAATTACATCGGAAGCTAATTCATGCAAATGCTTTTGGTAGAGGATTTGTTACCTGCAAGCTGGAGCCAATTCATGTGCACCCAATGAAGGAGATATTGAACATATTGATGGAGAAGCTAATGCTTGTGATGAAATTTCAGATTTGGTTGTTTAAAACTTTTTTGTTCCATGAATATTTGTTTCAAGATTTTTTCGATAAAAATTTGGTTTCAAGAAATATGTGTTTTTTGCATTCATACACTGTTTTTTCTGTTACAATATCGACAATCTCCAAGTGTTTGAAGCAAAACCAGAAATCTCCAAACTTAAATTGTTAATTACTTAAAATTTAATGAAATAATTACGTTAATTTTGTGAATAACTAAAACCAATGTACAAATAAATTTAAATAACAAAAAATAATTAAAACTTTAATCAAGCGATAAATTTTTTTAAAAAAATTCTTTTTCCTGAAAAATCTGTCTAAGTGGATATTGCTGGTTTTGCTTCTAGACCCCTCATTTAACCTATCATGTATGTCCAAATCGAATATAGATCAAACAAGATGACTATATTTAACATGGCAAGTCATAAGCATATAAATATATAAACGTGCGATCTTTCTGAAAAGAATGTACTGCGTGGTGTCAGTCTTTTGATAATTCTAGATTTAAATTTAGAACCAAATCATAAAGAATTTCAAAAGACGAAATGAATGGAAGCCAAAAATATTAAATTAAACTGAAACATTTACAGATCGACTAATTTTTATATCCAAAGGGTGGATATGTCTTCAACTTCTTATTATTAACTAAAAAAAATGCAAATAATACGAAATGAAAGAGACTAAGAGAATATTATTTGATTGAGGGAACGAAACATGTCAGGAACACCCCAAAAGCGACCGAAACCCTTGATTTATGTGCTAATATGATTCATGATGAACTAAAATATGTAAGGATTGATAGTACTATGTATCTAAATTAAGAAATCATTAAAGAAATATATCTTAAGATTTTACTATAATAGCAAATAAGGATTAAAATTAATTTAAAAAATAAGTTTCGTATCACGACCAAGTATTCAAAATAAAAAAGAAAATCCAAACTAAGTAACACCTAATCACTGAAAAAGGTTAAAAGGTTTGGCTAAGGTGTGACGCAAAAACAAACCATCAACATTATGCAAATTTAAAAGATTATTCTGACCAATTGTTAGATTTAAACTAAGTTTGGACATGCGCGTTATGATTGTTACCGCCTTATCAACTTGCGCATATGGGAATGTATGTTTATGTTAATTTTGTTTAAACAATACACAACTCAAAAATCAATTACTTTTAACTGCTTATTAAATAAAAAAGTATTGACAGACAAGAAATATTGATTTTTGCGAAGTATTTCAATATTTCTGATTAAAACTAAATACATTTTTTTACGTACAATTTTTTATAATTTATTACTTGACATGTGGCTTTTCTCAAAGATTTACGTACTTCTCCAAATATATAAACTTTAAACTTTACTTTACAATACTTGAAACAAATTGTACACTTAAAGTTACTGTATCTGACTTTTCCGAAAATAGCATATAAATAGATTATTATTTCCATTAAATTAAAAATAGTTCCCGAGAAAATTACTTTCTAGAAGCGATAAATGTTTATTCCATATAAGCGAAACAAAATATTTACGATGCTTTGATGTCATGTGTACACCACCATTGAAAATTAAAATGATCCTTCAAAAAATAGCGATGAGAGAGAAACATCTCTTACACATGCGAAACACGTGTTCCAAGTAAAAATAAACCCTCGGCACGTGAATTGGGCTGAGGCCGCGTTGCCACATTTTCACGAGAAATAATAACAAAGCATGAATCATGTACTCACCCTTTCCTCCTCGCGTATCATCTCGGCTATACCAGGCTTGATCTCCATGTCATCAACAGCTGAAGGTGGAGGTTGTGGTGGAAGCGGCAAAGTTAGTTGCAAAGGTTCGGCGGCTACGGCGGATGACGCTGAAGGCGTCGGTAAGGGCGTCGCGGACGAAGGAGCCGGAGACATCTCCACAGATGGCGGAGGGTCTGGCACCTCCGTGCTCGCACTTTCAGCTGGGCTACTCAGGCTGCTTCTTTCACCAGAGGGTCTGCGTCTCTTCTTTGCTCTTGAAGCCTCGCTTTCCATGTCTTGGGGTCTGTTATCCCAGTCAAGTGATGATCTGTTGATATTCGGTGTAGATATTGGTTTGATCAGGGAAGGCCTAGTGGTCAGCTCACCTGTAGGTGCTACCACGTCTTGTTCGCCATTAACATCGGCTAAGCCACGAATCTTTAAAGATTCGGCAACTTTTAGTAGTGGACCAATTTGCTCTTGCGAAACATTAATTTCACCCTTGTACATAAATTCGACGGCAGCTTTTAATTCTGGCCACTTGATGTCCCTCATTATAACTATGGGGTGCTGACATGGATTTTCGAAGAACAGCGATTGGAAATATGGGCTGCAGGCCGATAGGACCATCTTGTGAGCTTTTACGGAGTGACCGTCGCATGCTAATGTAACATCTACAAAAGACTCACTCTGAAGAAGCTGATCGAAGACGTTGGTCAAATTAGATTGGTAGTTGTTCCAACGGAGGCAAAACTGCTGGGGAGAATTAGTTGTGTGCTGCATTGTCACCTGAAAGTTTCAAAAAAACACAGTTCACAATAAATACCCGCACATTGCAGTCCTGAGAGCACAAAATGTCTGAGAGGCGAGCAGTAAAAAGAAAACACGTGCGTGTGTATACGGTTTTACCGACGAGAACTCGAGAACGTTGATCAAAACAACAACAGTTAACGGGAGTACTGTAGCGGCGAAACTGAGAGCAACGCGGCCGAGCGACGACGGGGCTGACAGGAGGGTCTGGGCCGCCTCTCGCGCACGCCTTACCCCCACTACGATGCAAGACCGCCCTCACCCCACCCATCCACCCACAATACCTCGTGGCCACCGTGCGGCAATCACCGTCGCGGCACCCTAATTACGGGCGATACATCGACACCTGAACCCCTGCCACAACCTAGGCTCATTACTTTTACTTACACCTTAAAATATTGTTGCGGCCATTACTTACAAACAATTCGGCCAACAATGGTCAGCGGTTTATTGCTATTACGTTAATTAATTGTATTTCTTAGTTTTCAATACCGCGGAATTTTACCCGAGATTTATTCAATTGTAACTTCATTGTAAGGCCTTTATATCCTTAAAATGTTTATTTACTTGATAATTATTACTTCATTTAAATAATTAAGTTTGACTTTTCATTTGTTTTTTTTTTTATTTAACATATTTTTAATAAGTATAAGAAAATAATTTAATTAAAAATCAGTTGGCATTATTTTGAACATTACTAATATATTTTTTATTGGAGTAAACCACAATTAATTAATTATAATCATAATTACATGTACATATTTTCTTGTTCATGTTTCAATTTCCAATCTGCATATCGTTTTCAAAAAAAAATCTGGATTATAATTAGAATTAGTAAAATGATTTGTTAATCTATAAAATCTGTAGAATTAGTCGTGTTTTAATCACATCTAACAAAATATATCAGTGTAAAACTATTAAAACATTTAAAGCTTTCATTTGTTGGTAGAGTTTTTTGATGATAAGTCTTCTTTTTCATCTAGTTTGTCAGTCATTAGTTGAGGATACTTTGCTTTAATGCTTTTAAATTAATGTCTTATCAGTTTTATTATCTCATTAATATTTATGATTATTATTATTAAATGTTTATCCAAATTTTTAACTAACTCTTTATTAGTTTTTTGAGGCAATTTATTTAATGTTTACATATTAAATAGTTGTTTAAAATCCGTAAAATAATTTTCGAAACCAAATTCAGATTTTTTGCTTCTGTGTCTTCCAAGAATTGCAAGGCAAAACAGACGTTGATAAAGATGATATTAGGGACATGGGGAATATAAAATTTGCATTTCAGAACACGTGAAAATAAGCGGATACACAGACGCATTATACGTGAAATCGAATCTTAACTGTTTTTTCCTTGTCATCCACCTAGAGCCCACGTGCTTCTTGATATCATCTGCCCATCTTATTTGGGGCCTTCCTCTGCTTCGTTTATATTCCCACGGTCTCCAACTTATAAGAATTTTGTTTCATCGGTCTCCTTTTTGTCTTATATTGTGTCCGGCAAGGATTTTTGCTTAGTCGAGGAGATATGTTGTGGAATGCAACTTTTAGATTCCCCACGTCTCTAATAACATATTTTTCAACGTCTGTTTTGCCTTGCAATTCTTAGAAGGCACAGATTAAAGCAAAAACCTGAATTTGGTTTCGAAAATTAGTTTACGGATTTTAATATAAGATGTCGCTATTTGCGTCCATTCGAAGCCATGTTAGAGTTGCTTCCTAAGACTGAAGAGATTTATTTTTACGTTCAGAGCGACTGTGAATTACCGTTCTGAAGAGACCTATTGGGCCGAAATGCGTATAAGCATGAGTATAAGCGGATACACTAGTGTTGTCCAAATGCAAGAAGAAGACGAGACTTGGACAGTCTTGCTCTTGGTCTTACACCAATACCCTGATCTTGGTCTTGGTATTGCACTCCCGCTCTTGGTCTTGCAGCAAGAGTCTTGCAGTTACCCATTAGCCTAATGCTGTTTATTGAACGTTACTTTAAATCTTATAACAACGTAACAAAGCAAATACATTTTAAGCTTGCATTAATATAGCCATAATTGCGACCAACCAAATTAATAAATGTCTAAACAACTGACACCGGGTATGGTTTGAAGCCACGATCTAAGCGATTCGTACCTATGCTCTAACTAACTCAGCTATCTACCATGCCACACGGAAGTCAATCTGTTTCTTACTAATTGTTTCCATTTAATAAACTTACATGTGCTAAAACATGGTTAAAGAACAAAAAAAAAACAAATTAATGACATAAACTTTACTGTATTTTAAAGAACATTATCTGCCTAGACAGGGATTTCCCATATATGAGTAGTAAGTAAGTAGCAAAAAATCCATATACAGGTATCAAGGGCACATATTATTTAGGTAAGAATATAACAAACTATATTCCACTTATTAAAGCAACATAAATGTTGTTAACAATCTTAGATCAACTTTTATATAAAAAACTAACTTGGAAAAATAAAGAATAGGTAAAAAAGCAATGATAATCAAAAGAAATTATTTTAAATTAAGGAGATATATCTACTTAATAAATTCATTAATTTGCCAAAATAAAGTAGTAGGTATATTTATTTTTTTTTATTATCCCGGTTTTTTATAGCGTTCTCCGCCTTCCGGTTCCGTTTCCAGCTACGTCGGCCATTCCATTCGCCAGGGTGAAGGTTTCTTTCCGACATTGTCTTCTGAATGCCGCCCAGCCAGGATTGTTTTGGCCTTCCTCTCTTCCTTCTTTCCCTTGGCGTCCACTTTAAAATTTGGTCTGGCAGCCTGTCGTCGTCCATTCTTTTCACATGACCATACCAGATCAGTTGTCTCCTTTGAATTTCGTCAATGATGGTTGACTTGACTCCCATTATATTTTTGATATGGTCATTTTGTATTCTATCAAGCCTTGATTTTCTAGCCTTACTTCTCCAGAAGTCCATTTCCAAAGCAAGTAGGCGTCGCTCAAGGGATTTAGTAAGTTGCCATGTTTCGCATCCATAGAGCACTATACTTTTAAAGATGGAGTTAAAGAGGAGATGCTTTCTTTGATTTGATAGTTCTTTTGACCATAGCATCGGGTTTAGGCATCCTATCACCCTTTTTCCTTTCACGATTCTTTGCTCTATCTCTTTTTCGGTGCGCCCACTCTTGTTGATTGTTGTTCCCAAATATATATATTCCTCACAGTTCTTGATTGTTTCATGTTCGTTGACCATTAGATCTTCTACTTCATTCCCGATGCATAAGTATTGCGTTTTGTTTCTATTTACAGAGAGGGCCCATTCTTCATACTCTATAAGAATATTCTATAAGAATGGAGAATAGTAGGTACATAATATATGTAATTGGTAATAAGCTAATAAGTATATATTTTACATGTCCAGTTTTCCAGCGGTTATTAAAAAGCTTGTGGTAACTCGACCGAATTTTGTTTTTTTCAGGAAGAAATATTTGTAATTCCTTTTCGTGAAAAAATGTTAAATGTTTTCTTAAACCTGACGTGTTTCTGTTTTCCATTTTCATTTCAACCTTTCTATGTAGGAATAGTTTACACAAAATTTGCTTCTAGGTCTTTTAGGTATATAATTCCAACGCTCACTACTCCGACTAGAACTATTTGAATTTTTGTCCTTCATGTCAAATTGTAAACTTGTCACTCCGGGAACAACACGGATTAGATGAAAAACAATTATTATTACATTAAAATCAAAGGAAAGCTCAAATAGTGATGTCGAAAAAGTAACTACTACTATAATAGTTACTTTATGTCCGTTACTATCAAATACCCTAGGTACCTAATAACAAACTGAGAATTATATATCATTACTTCGTTATTCTAAATATTTTGGTATTTTGTTTACACAGCAGGCGACATTATCTGGTATTAATTTGTCTCGCTACTTTTGAATACATATTAGACGCGTACTTTCAGTAAATTTTGTTTAACCGAATGATCTCATCGCATACTCAGCAGAATTTTAAATATCAAGCAACAATTCCAATATTTTATATAATGAACAATGAATGGTTTCGTTATTTAATAATACAATTTTTTGTCGGCATTTATGGCACTAACATTCGAGTAATCGCAACACATATTATGTTATCTTTTCGGTACAAGGAATTTAAAATTTTCTTTAATCAATTGCCGAGCTGACAACACAGAAAATTCACAGTTTTAAATAATGTACTTTCGTTGTTCAATTTAATATTTTGCATCTGGTGCACACAATGAAAAGACCCTTACAAAGATTTGCAACAATCGTCTAACCCACATATTTATAATGAAAACCTGGGTTAGACTATTTTTACAAATTTCTGTTTTCATATTATTTCACGATTGTGGTTTAGAACTTAGTTCACAAACGCCTCCATGTGTATGGATATGGCTTATATCATTTTTGCTTGATGTAGTATGCATTATGATAGACAGTTTGACACGTCTAACCTCATTTGTAAACAAATGTGGGTTAGACGGTGGTTGCAAAACACCGTCCGTTTAGTCTTAGGCCGATAAGATTTGTTTATTTAGATTCCTTCTAACTAAATTATAATGGGAAAAAATTGAATTATAAAGTCGGTGTCCGTAACAATAAGTGTTATATCTTTTATTCGCTAAGATGACATATTAAAAAAAAATCGATACAATATTACTGTGGGCGTCGAAATGCAAGAAGATTATTTTATGATTAGAGAGCAGCTATTCTCAAAATCTGGACAATTAATTTCAGAGCGAAGAAGTCGTCTGCTGGAAATGAATGTACAAAATATTTTGTTTTTATATTGTAATTATGACCTCTGAGCACGTGTCAAATGTGTTTTTTTATTGAATATTTTGATTCGGAATGTATGTTTATGGTATTGTTCGTAATGCGCATAAGTCCAGTTTTTCAAAATATTTTTGTGCGTCTTATAGAGTCTTTAAAAATATACCGGAACTACTATACTCGCTAAAACGACACTCAGTCCTAACTGCAAGACGCAAGAGTCTCGCAGGCTTAGTCTTGCTCTTGCTTAAATTTTGCAAAGTCAGTCTTGGTCTTGGTCTTGCTAAAATTAGGCGGTCTTGGTCTTCGTCTTGCAAAAACGCAAGAACAAGACCAAGACTGCAAGACCAAGACCTATTTTGGGCAACACAGACGCACTATACATGAAATCAAATCTTAACTGCTTTTTCCTTTCTAGTTGTTTGTTTTCTGTTGTTCTTCCTATCAGGCATTTCTTTATATTGTTCTGAAAATATTTTTCTACATTTTTATATTATCTATTAAATTTTATGGAAAAGAACGATAATTCCAATTAAAATACGTTATAAACGAAAAATTATTTTGTTTTTTTTTGGAAGTAGAAAAAGTCATATTGACAATTCAGACATAATATGGCACCCTGAGATGACAACTTTTGTAAGTTCCTATAATAATAATTTTCAGGTTATGTTTGATTCATATTTGATTTAAAGAGCTCTTGTCAATGAAACACTGTCGCAATATCCAACTCTCATTATTTAAACGCTAGTTGCTAACAACAGTTGTTTTAGTTCAAAAAGATGCCCAGCCTCTGAATAGAAGACTGTTGTATGTTACATACCACAGATTCATTTAAGAAAATACCCGTCGTATGGAACTTACTACAGTATTCACATAAATATTTCTAGTGGAATCTAATGTGACATGTAAAAATAGTGCAAACACTCCAGACCATGGAGCTGCGCGAAGGCGAAGTCAAAATTCACGTAAAGACAGAAAGGTTCTATTGTTAGTGGAATTATACAGTGCATAGTACAATACGTTTCGCATGGAAGTGGAGACTAAACCAAATTTCGTCTACTGCGCCGTGGTCAGGAGTGCTGCACTATCTGTAACATACAACAGTTTGACTCTAGGATTTTTAAGTTACTGCGCGATGAGACCGCTTTTTCTAACCTTATTCTAGTTTAGTTAGTTGTTCTTGGTTTGTGTTAAACAGTTAACAGCGGAATGGTATTAAAATTATTTACAATGAGTTGTAATAGTTGTGGAAAAGATTTCATCTATCGTAGGAAACTGATGTTGTATTTATCACAAATGATTTTTGAATCAAGTAACTGAGTTCAAGAAATATATGATAATCTTCTGTCTGTGAAGCAAAGTTGCTCTTAGGATAAAACGGTAAATTATTAAGTAATAGATACCACGAATTTTATTTATCATTTTCCTAAAAAATGGAGACCAAGCATCCTAATATCTCTCTTTAAAAAGGGAGACAAATCGGACCCAGAAAATTACAGAGGAATTAATTTATTAAACACAACACTAAAATTAACAACCAAAGTGATAATTAATGGATTGAATGAAATGATAACACTAGCAGAAGAACAACAAGGTTTTAGGTCTGGAAAATCATGCACCGACGGTATATTTATAGTGAGGCAAGTGCAAGAGAAATCATTAGAATACAACAAATTGGCATATCTATGATTCGTGGATCTTACGAAGGCATTTGACTGGGTCAAATTAAAAGACGTTATCCTCTTACTGTACGCAAGAGAGATACCTCTAGGAATAATCAAAATGATCGAGAATATCTACCAAAACAACACAATAAAAGTAAAAGTAAAAAAACTAACCGACCCTATTGAAGCTAGCAATGGGGTAAGACTGGCAGATTCATTGAGTCCTCTATTGTTTAATCAGATTATGGATGAAATAATAAAAAAATAAGAATTAAAAAATAATACCAAATGGGAGAAAAATAACTAAAAATAATCTGTTATGTCGACGACGCAATACTACTCTCTCAAAGTGAAGATGATTTACAACGTATGCTGCACCAAATTAATATAACCGCCAGAAAATTTAACATGTTAATTTTCCGAAAAAAGACAAAATGCATGGGTACAACAGCAAATTTACTAAGATGCAAATTGAAGCTGGAAGGTCAGATACACTAGTTTACAACCAATTTGCGACTCGAATGCACAATGGTGTTTTTTGTTAATTTCGGCTCTCTGAACATGAATATGCTGATAAAAACTTCCTAACACGTAAGACTTTTGAGTTATGATTTTTTCAAAAAAAAATTTTTTTTAAAGTATTTTAATAAAAAAAAATTTAAAGTCATTTGTAAAATATCGGAACGAAATGTTATCAAATTAACGCTTTTCCTGAAAAGTGTGCATAATTTGTGCAAGATTTGAAAATGTATGACGATAAAAGTGAACCCGATAATGTATCAAAAACGGACGATTCTTATTTTCCCGAAAGCGATGATAATGCACCCCATTTCATCCAACAAACTGAATTAACTGATTTAGTTCGAGACCTTCACCTGTCCAAAGAACATGATGAACTTTTAGGTTCTCGATTACAACAATGGAATTTACTAGCCGTGGAACCAAAGTTACCATATTTAGGAACCGAAACCAGGAACTATCCTCGTTTTTTACTATGCATAGTGTTATAGAAAAATTAGGATTGACACATAACCCAGAAGAATGACGTTTGTTTATAGATTCTTCTAAATCAAGTCTAAAAGCAGTTTTGCTCCATACCGGCAACAAAAAACCATCTATTCCTCTTGCACATGCAGTTGATACGAAAGAAACACACGAAAGTATGTTGCTGATCCTAAATGCAGTAAGCTATGATACATATAAGTGGCAAATATGTGGTAACTTAATAGTCATCGGATTATTACTAGGTGTTAAGGGAGGATTTACAAAATTTTGCTGTTTTCTTTGTCTTTGGGACAGTAGAGCAACACAGTCATTACCAAGTTAGAGAATGGTCACCAAGAGCAATGTACATTCCAGGTCAAGCTAACGTAAAGAATATACCTCAGTTACATATTAAACTGATTTTGATTAAAAATTTCGTTAAAGCATTAGATGAAGAAGGAGATGCGTTTAAATATTTTAAACAAATTTTTCCTAAGCTAAGTGACGCTAAGTTTAAAGAAGGAATATTTATTGGACCACAAATCAGAAAAATACTAAGGGGTCAACAATTTGATGAAAAATTAAGTGATGTTGAGTTAGCTGCATAGATTTTTTTCAAAAGAATTGTTTTCGAGTTTTTGGAAAACAAAAAAGCAGAAAATTACTAAAATGTTGTAGAAGAACTACTTAAAAATTACTGCAAAATGGGCTGTCGCATGTCTCTAAAAATACACTTTCTGCACTCCCATTTAAATTTTTTCCCGGAAAATTTGGGTTCTACCAGGATATTTTGTCTACCAGTCATGTCTTGAAATTGTTTTTAAAAGTAATTCACAATAGAATACATAAGACATTAGATGAAGGCATAAGTAATACACAAATGGGATTTAGGAAAGGACTTGCTTAGATATTAATCAGGAAGTATATGCCTGTTTCATTGATTTTGAGAAGGCATTTGACAGAGTGCAGCATAATCGACTTAAAGAAACTTTATTAAATAAAAACATAGACAGTAGAGACATTAGAATCATCTGTAACCTCTATTGGAATCAAACAGCAAAAGTGAAAGTTGAAAACGAACTGACCAAGGATATCCAGATTCGCCGTGGGGTCCGCCAAGGGTGTATTTTATCACCCTTGTTATTCAATTTATAGAGTGAAGCCATCTCAGAATTAGCGCTTGCCGAGATCAGTGAGGGCCTTATAATAAACGGTGAGCCACTTAATAACATAAGATATGCTGACGACACCGTCCTTTTGGCAGGAACACTAGAAGAACTGCAACACCTTGCTGAACAACTAAATATATATTGCAACGATTATGGACTAAAAATCAATTTGAAGAAAACCAAGTTCATGGTATTTACAAAAGCACAAAACATCAAAGTTAAGCTAGTACTAGATAATACAGAAATTGAACAAATATCTTCGTACAAATACCTTGGAGCATGGATCACAGAAGATACTGATCAGACAAAAGAAATAAGATGCCGCATTGAAATTGCGCGGTCAACTTTTAATAGAATGAGAAAACTTTTTTGTAATCGCGATATCAATATATCGCTCCGGATAAGAATGCTTCGATGTTATATTTTCTCTACCCTTTTGTATGGAGTTGAAGCTTGGACACTTAAAAAATCCAACATTAAAAACCTAGAAGCATTCGAAATGTGGTGTTACCGACGCATTTTGAAAATATCATGGATGGATCGCAAAACAAACGAACAAGTTCTCGAACAACTAGGAAAACAATGCGAAGTTTTAAATTCCATAAAGATCAGGAAATTGGAATACTTGGGGCACATCATGAGAGGTGAAAAGTACGAACTACTAAGGAATATAATGCAGGGTAAAATCAAAGGTAGAAGAAGCGTAGGAAGACGTAAAATCTCGTGGCTACGCAATCTCCGTGAGTGGTTTGGATGCAGTTCAATTGAACTATTCAGGCGAGTAACCAATAAAATTATAATTGCCAGAATGATTTCCAATCTCCGATAGGAGTGGAACTTGAAGAAGAAGGATATTTTCACAATAGAGCAACGCTACCAGGGAAAACGGGATGCAGCAATGATGGGAGATTACTGTTGGTTCCTCATGAGAGAAAGTGAAACAGAGTATAAAAGGAAATCAGCGTTTGCTAAGAATTTGTGTACAGAAGACTTACCATAGTTTTTGTTTCTAGTTCTGGACTTATCTATATATAGTATATAAGAATTTTTATAATACATAACATTATGTAATGCATACTATAACTCAAAATATGTACGTGGTGAGAAATTTTGGTGTTTGAAACAGCAATTATTTTTTTTTAAATTTGTTGACTAGTGAATAGAACAAGTGATGGAGTTTAAATATCTATGCATCACATTATGTAGCTAGGGAAAGTTTGAAACCGAAGTGGAAGATCAAGTAAATAGAGCAAACAGAGCCGCAGGCTGCCTAAATGAAACAATATGAAGAAATAAAAATATCGAAAAAAAAAAACGGAAGGTAGAATTTACAAAACAATCATCAGACTAATAATGACATACGCGGCAGAAACAAGACCTGATACAGAGAGGACGAAAAGGATGTTAGAAACAGCAGAGATGAAAACACTTAGAACAATTGATGGTAAAACATTATGTGACATAGCTAGAAGTACAGATATACGACATAGATGCAAGGTGGAGAACATCAAGAACTGGGTAAGAAATAGTAGAGTAGAATGGAATGATCATATAAACCGAATGACAACAAATAGAGTAGTAAACACGGTAAAAGACGGTTCCCCAATATTAAGACAATCAGTAGGAAGACCACGAAAACAATGCAACCGCAACTTACTGTAGGCACACTGAAAAATTCACAGAGTCATGTCTATATAAAAAGAGAAAGAAGAAGAAAAGGCTTGCATTATTTTCTCTTTCACTTCTGTATAGATCAATTCTTCTGCTTCATCATCTTGTTGCGTGTTCGTTATTGTTTCTCTTTCTTCTTCTCTATAGACATAGTATTAGAACTTTGAAAATGTCCTTTTTCTTCTTCTTGTTACGTTAGGACGACGTCCTGTGTTTTATTCAATGGTTCAGCAACCGCAGTTTAGTCGACCAAGGCCAACTTTTGTACTATCAAGAAAGACTCATCCAGCGTTCGGTCTGGCTTAAAATAATTTTAAGACACCGTTTTCTACAAAATATTTTATTGTTACCGATAAACAAGTATTCCATTACAATCTTTTGGAAATGTACAATCGGAGTTTTTATATCAGAATAATACAATCAAATTACTGCACTGAATATACCTACCTAGGAATTGATTTCGTCACCACAGGCACAGACAATAGGGAAATTAGAATAACCCAGGCCCGTAGAACAATTGGATGCCTTAAAGGAGTTCTTTGGTTGAGCTCAGAAATTGGTAAAAGACGAAAATGCAATATATATGAATCTCTCATAAAAACTAGTTTAACCTATGGTACAGAGACATGGAGACTAACAATAAGCAATAAAAGAAAACTCGAAGCAACAGAAATGGATGTATTTAGACGATCACTTCGAATATCTAGGGCAGACATAATTAGAAACGATGAAATAAAGAATCGGATGGGGGTAGATGGATAACTGGCAGACATAGAAAGAAAACAACTTATATGGTATGGCTATGTTCAAAGAATGGTAGAAACAAGACTACCAAAAATCGCCATGAAATGGATACCACCAAATCGTAAGAAACGAGTAAGACCAAAAAGAACATGGAAGGAGGGAATAACAAAGGCAATGAGCTCCCGAGACTTGACCGAAGAACAATCGAATGATAGAAATTAGGCATCGGACAACGACGCAAGACGTTTTGAAACCGAATATAATACAATCAAAGCAGTTTTGTACAAAAATGTACAAAGATAATATTATGATCACCCCGACACCCCGCGAATGTAATAAAACAAGACACAAATAAGCTGTGTCATAAAAATTGTGAAAATAATTTTAAAATTGAGTAAAAACAAATTGTACAAAGTTTTTTTGGCTTTGGGAACATGTAAATAACTCATCTTTTTGTCAATTTATCGGATTCGTTAATTTGTTAAATATAATCATTATATTGCAAAATTTTTTCAAATTTGGGAAATAGTTTTTTGAGTTTGATTGGCTCTTTTATGCAATTAATTCACTATTTCATTTTTGATAATCATATTACGTTCATCAGCGTATATAAAATATTTGTTTGTTCTAATGTAGGACATCTCTAAAATTTGGTATTCTACGCTAAACAATATAATTTTTTTGCACGACTTATTCATGTTTGATTTTCATTATTATTTAGTAGACACAAATATTTTCACCGGATTTTTTACGTTTACGAAAAATTTTACATTCACGATGGCAGTATATTTCTGTCAATGGATTGTCACCTTTTAATATCAAACAAAAAATGTATTAATTAACTGAAGATATAATCAATATTAGGATAGCGGAACTTGTTAAGAAATAAAAAGGGACAATGTAAAAAGTATTTACAATATTGAAACGAAAAAACACATGAACATTGATATTTCAGTCAGTACAGAAGTGAAAAAGAAGTATCGGTAATCTGAGAACTTTACCCAATTTTATATCCTACCTTTATTACCGACGAATCATCTTACATCAGGACAATGCAACTGTTAAACAATTCACCGTATAAAATGCGTTAGGCTTTCACGGCCATCGTCTAACTTGTTAAGCTGTGTATAAGAATGTTGTGGCATTCTTGTTGATTTGATGTTGTTTCCCTATTTTCAAGAGTTCCACTAGAAAACGTTTCAAAGGATATAGTGCAATTATACCGTATTTGCCTCACTACCAGCTACTTTTCATGGGAAGACCAGATTTATGAACAGGTAGATGGAGTAGCAATGAGAAGCCCACTAAGCCCGGTCGTAGCCAACCTTTTCAAGGAGCATCTAGAGAATAGGCTAATGGAGTCTGCATACAAGGATATGGTTTAGATACGTCGATGACACTTTTGTGATTTGGGATCATGGAGTAGAAAAACTTCTCACCCAAACTATGTACTCTGGCGTTGGAAGACATTTTTAAATCTATAGACTGGGACAATAAAGGGATTTGTATAAACGGGAAGTATTTAAATCATCTAAGATTCGCCGATGATGTACTCCTGATAGCAACAACTATGGAACAACTACGAATAATGATTTCAGACCTAGAAAAAACATCTCTTGAGAAAGGACTAAAAATGAATCTTAAGAAAACTAAAATACTGACAAATACAGAAGACAAATCAGTAATTACCATAGGTGGAACAAACATAGAACATGTCCAAGAATATATTTACTTAGGATAAGCTATCAGAGCAGACAAAAGCAACCAGACTAAGAAATAACCAGAAGAATAAGAATGGGGTGGGCATTTAGAAAAATCTCATATACTATCAAAAACCAAAAAATACCTTTAAAATTGAGAACGAGCGTAATTAATGCATGCGTCCTATCTGTTCTTACATATAGTGCCCAGACGTGGACGTGTACCAAGAGCAACTTAGATAGAATAAAGAAAATTCAAAGAGCAATGGAAAGACAAGTGTTGGGAATATCGTTAAGAGATAAAAGGAGGAACGAGTGGATAAGATGCAAAACCGAAACAACAGACGCTGTCGAACATAATTTGAAATTAAAATGGAAATGGGCTGCGCGTAACGAAAGATATCAGGATGGAAGATGGAATAAAGAAATTGGCCGCTGGATACCATATACTGCAAAAAGGTCAAGAGGTCGACCGCAAATGAGATGGAAAGATGACATTGAGCAAAGCGCAGGTCCAATGTGGAAAAGACAAACAGAAGACACAGTCAAATGGAGACAAATGGGAGGGGCCTATATTCAACACATGAATAGATTTTGAGCTATAGATAGATAACACTACATCCAAATATTCAATGTACGATGGAAACAGAGAAAGATCAACAACTAGCGTTCCTGCATGTATTAGTAAATCGAAAGGAAGGTTACTTACGAAGAGGGCGAAGAGAATTTGTGAAACACAGCATCTGCAAAGTGAACTTCTTCATATTGAAAAAACGCTCACCTCTAATGGTTATAATAAAAGAGAAATACATAAAGCGATTAACAACGTTTTTAGAAGAAAGGATGAAGAAACAGCATGTATAGGCGTTCTCGCCCTATATAGCGGGGGTAACAGATATAATTGTCAAATATATAATTTTCAAGCCTACGAAGATATTCAAGGACTGTTTAAGATCGGTGAAGGACCAACGCGACCCGTTAGCAACGGTCGGAGTATATCAAAGACCATGCACATCTGTAATTGTAAGTGGGAACCACAAAAAGACACACAACAAGGATAAACGAACATAAAGAAAACATCAGATACTCTTTGAAGAAACGCAGATGTTGGATAAAACATCACAGTACTACCCACGGTTACACGCCCCCTCACGCCGAAACCAGTGAAGGAGAGGCGAGTAGAAAATATAAATATGGCCTTCCACAGTACAACGTGGCGTCAGTTTCAGCTTACCATCGAAGCAGTAACATCTCCTGAAGATGCCAACCCCTAGTGTTGGCGAAACGTCGAGAACTAATCTAAGAAGACAACGGCCTAATAACCTGAACAAACCGCTTAACAATTCACTGTATAGTACCAACGACTTCTACATGTTCCAACAATTGCTTTAAAAGTCAAAAAGCGGTTACTTCTGACTTGCATATAATCGTTTGTTTACCAGAAGTTATCGCGAAATTCCGACAAAGCAACTCGCAACGGCAAATAATTCCACATCAGGATAATAAAAGTGTTCACACTGCCTAAAAGACAATAGAGTTTTTGGAGCTGCCCTCATCGAATTCTTAAACCATCCACCGTATAGTACCAAAGACTTCTTCACGTTAAAGGAGGCTCGAGATGCCTGATATAGAAGAAAAAACTTTAATAGGAGTATCTTCTTCCTCTTCCTCTTTTTAAGGAATTCTGCTTGTTCATTGGCGGATTAATACATATATAGAAAGTTGTCACTCAATCTTTTGCGCGGTCGACCGACACTTCTTCTGCCGATTGGTGATTTATCTCTTACTATATTAACCACATGAATCACCTTCATTCTGCTTTTGTGGTTATTCCATTCATATTTTCTAGTTAGTGTTTATTAATAGGAATACCTATAGGAATA